ATTAGCTTAAGATGGCCTCAATTGCACCCATTCTACACTAAGTTGGTGTCTGAAATGCTAGAATATTTCCTCTCTTCTTAACCTTGCGAATTTTGTTAGAAGTTCTAATTTTGGGCACTTTGTTGCAAAATCAACTATGCTACAGCATCGGAATCAGAAATGAGCAGAAGCGACAGGCTAACAGTGACAGTGACAAAGCTTTAATCTGGGAGTCACCACAGTAATTGAAGAATCACCTGGAAGTGAGAGATGAGGCCCACGCAGCTGTTTGTGGCCCTAAAAACAAATTGGAGTATAAAAGCCAACATTAAATGAAGCCTCCACACACTTTTCACATCAATCAACCCTCACTTCAAGAAAACCTCCCAAATACAGTTCGAATAAGCCAAGAAGAAAGGTGGAGACACGAAGCCGTTGCTGAAACAGAAAGGGAGAGCAGTCTACAAGGAACTAAGCCTTTAGCTCCTTCTTTTCATTCTTATGTCTATTTCTCATTGTAGTCTTCTTGTCGCCTTTTTGTTTTGTTTTTTTTTTAATGACTATGCGTAGCTAAAACCCATTTGTAAAGGAGAAATGTTGTGAACTCTTCTCTTGGGCTGTAAACTGTGCTATTAGTGTTAATGATGAATGGGTATTGAGTTTAAGTTGTGTTTAAAGTTATTTTCAGCATGCTTGATCATCATGGTTGAAATATCTTCTTGTTAACTCTTGGAAAAGTGTAATAGGGAGTGATAAACTTCAATTTATGCTAGAATCTGCTTGAGTTAGAGAATGGGTACTTAGGAATAGGGCTCACCTAGCACGGCTATAAATTGCTACTAAATGCTGTTAGGTTTGTCTAAAAACCTGACAGTAGAAAATCTGGGACGTCTGGGAAGGCTTCATGTCTGTTTGACCAGTACTCACATTGTTAATGCTATAGCATCGTTTGAGTAGTCCAGAAAAAGTCACATTCAACTTTCCCCCTTACCTTGTTAAAGAGTAAATCGTTAACGGTTTTCACTGCCTACTATCCTTATTAAAAAGCCACTTGAATTCAATTTAAGTTCAGGTTTATAATATTCACTGTGCATCACATCATTTATTTTCTATATTACCCGTGTTATCTTTGCTATTCAACAATTTGCATTTAGATTTTAGCTTCCTTGAGCCAATATTAAAGTGTTTAGTGAGCATTCCCTATGGATTCGAACTTTTTATTAATTGCTACAACGAAAGTATATACTTGCACGTAAGGGACACCATATCGTTCAACACTTATATGAATGAAGTGGTACCTCTTTTTCCACAAAAAAAAAAAAGTCGAGTAATATAATTCAAACATCTTAACGTTGAGCGACTAAATAACAATAAACAAAATAATCGCCAAAACGAGCATAGCTCAGCGGTAATTGGCATATATCTTCAACCAAGAGGTTGTGAGTTAATACATCAAAAAATGTTTAATTAATTAATAAACTAATTATCAACAATAATTTGTATGAATCTTAAAAGATGGAATGTAGAACTTTTGGTCATTTCATTTCCCAATAATATAATTTAAAGAATTTTTCTTTAATAATTTTAATTAAAATAGAAATTAAATCAATAAAATAATTTGATCTCAAGTTAAAAAGTTCAACATCGAGGCCTTGAAAAAGTATTTTTAGACTATACATTTCTTCAATTTATAAATTTACAAAACATACCCTATAAAATTAATGATAAATAGTAAAATAAATTCATTAGTTATCAATAATAAATAATAAATTAATTATCAACCATAACAAGTATGAAATTTAAAAAGGTGGAATAAGTTATTATTTAATTTATGAAGAAGTTAATATCTTTCACTTATAGTAATTAATAATAGAATTTCAAAAATTTTAGATTTATAATCTATAACGTATTAAAAAGTTATTTTTATAAATATTTTTAGACTATTTTATTCATTTGTCAAATTTTAAATTTAAAAAATATGACATTAACAATTATTCATAAATAGTAAATTAATTATTAACCATGATAAATACATGAAATATAAAAAAGGTAGATTATGAAAAGATGAGTTGTTTCTTTACCCACTAATTTAAAGACTTTTCTTTTAGTTCTAATTAATATTATAATTTTATAAGTTATGGAATTAAAAAGTGTTGTGACTTTTTTCCACCGTCTACTATAAAATGATGTTTTCTTCCACAATTTCTCTGACAACATTTTAACTTCAATTTTTTTTTAATTATTAGTTTCTTTCAATCGGTTGCTCTCAAAGTCTCTTTAATCTTGAAATTGAAGTAGCTTATGTGATATATTTAAGTTGTATCTGAAGGTCTCAGCACCGACCACTAGTTGGCCAGGGGCTCGACTTGGGTAGCCGGGCACCAGCCCCCTTTTTGGTTCGTGCCTTCTCTGGGCTCTTCCCTGGTCTTCTCTCGCTTTGCTGAATCTTCTCTAATTTCTCCCTATAACAATAACCACCACTCTCAATGTAGAAGACAATAAGTATGAGCAAAATGTTAAGCCTTCTATATTGCAAGTATTTGGCACTTGGTCATTTCATGGATGACTATTTTTGTGAAATAGCCCTCATACCCTTTTGTTGCTGTTGGTTGTCGTTTTTCGGACAAACCTTCTTAGCCCCCATACTCTTGTCGTAGTTGGCTGTAGTCAAGTCTCTTGGGCTCTACCGTATAGTTAGTTTTAACTGTTGGCTGTAGTCAAGTCCCGAGGGTGGGACCCCTTGTTCAAGTCTTGGAGTCAACGCTTAATAGAACACTCATCTACTTACCCTAAAGTTGGGAAGAAGTGAATTCCATCTTGTGTAGTTATGTTCCCAGCTTCCCACTCGGTCTCGTCCCGAAAATGGTAGGCATATTGAGTGGGCGACTCGGGCCACTCTCACTGATACAAATCAAAGGACGAGCCCTAACAGGCAGGAGTCCACCAGCTCCCCACTCGGTCTCGTCCCGAAAATGGTAGGCATATTGAGTCGGCGACTCGAGCCACTCTCACTAATACAAATCAAAGGACGAGCCCTAACAGGCAGGAGTCCATAACTCACTCGGGATTGAGATCGAGTTACCTCGTCATCCTATTGAAATATTAATCTATTAGCTAACAGTGTTACAGCTAAAGATTAATTATTTCGCGATCCGATTTTATACAAACTCATTGTTTAGGATACCCCCACTCACATATCTCCACACGAACGGCCTGGATCAAGTCATTTGTAACTATTACAATGTGGGCCGTATTCATAGTGTTACCAGGATAAGGTACCCCTACCTTATCCTGTATAATATAGACCCTTTAGGTTACTACTGGAACAGTATCCACCTATATATCGAGTATAAAATGTATATATATACACTGTATATCAAATATATACGTTGTATATTAAATATATAATGTATATCTGTTATATATTGTTCCAGTTACATGACATAACCTCAGGTGTTAGTTTATTGGATTTGGATTAATGCAATTCTATCAATAACAACTCTATTGAATGAATATTTGTTTTATGTTTACAAACCACGAGTTTAGGGCATAAAACCCAACAAAAGAATCTACCAAGAGAAAAGCTCGAGTTTTGTCGTTCCGCTGCTAGGATGACAATTTCTTTCACATAGTGAAAAGAGGGGGATTTGTTGGGTATTTTTCACATGTGTGAAAGTGCAACAATTTTAGGCCCAAATGGGCCATTACTTTTAGGGTTTATATATATATATATATATATACACACATGTGTAGCCGCCTACCACATTGTGAGGAGAGAGAGGGAAAAGTTTCTACATGCAGATCGAGGAGTGAAAACAGAAAAGAAAAAGGGAAAAGAAATTCATTCCGTACAGTAGCGTTTTTTGCACGATCGGAGGTCGATCTGTGGTCCGATCAAGGTGAAATTTTGACAGCTTGTTCATAACACGAGGGTCTTCAATCTGGGCGGTGGAGATTTCTTTCAGAGCTGCCTATAGTCAGATACAGTGGGTAGTTTGTGTCACTTTCTAAGTGAGATCTTTCTAATTTTCTTCCTTGATTTACTCCCTTTGTTTGCTGAGATTTTTTGTCTCGAGATATTATTATTGTATGCCTCTAGTTGTTGTTAGGGAGAACTTGGTGTGCCCATTATTGATTATAATGGAGATTTTGACTTTCATCCGTGGTTTTTTACTCCTCACATTGAGGGAGTTTTCCATGTTAAAATTGCTTGTGTCCCGTGCTTGTTTGAATTATTATTTTTACTTGCTATTTCCAATTAGATTCACACAAGAGGGGATAATTGGTCCATAAAATTAAGTGTTTATCCCATCATGGTGGAGCGATTCTTTAGAGACGCACCAGTTGCCATGACGTTTCTGACTCCTTACGATGTTTATTTGAGCCTCTACGAACCATTGTTGAGCACGAAGAGGAGGTGAGAGATGGAGGGGAGGGTGAGAGAGATGAGAGATGGAGGGGAGGGT